ACACACACACACACACACACACACACACACACACACACACACAAGGTTGAGTCAGCAACACCTCTGACATAATAAAGTCATTACATGTAACAGATGATGACACAATGAGAAACGTATAGTTCAGGACAGCAGAACTGTTTGTGTATMAAACTTTGGCCTGACAGGCGGCGACAGATTAAAATTTGTTTTGCTTCAAGAAATTCCAGTTGAATTTTTACCAGATGACTTTAATCCTGGTAAAAATGAAACTAAAGGGATTTCCCTTGGTGTGAAGTGTTTCAGCGGTGAGTTAGGAGGTGGTGGAAACATCCTGCTGTAGTTTCCCTCACACTCAGTTATGTTTTATCAGAGGACCTTCATACCTCATGTCTGGAGGAGGTTTTATTGCTCCCTCRAACAGCCAGATTCCAAACACAGCAAACACGTAGTACACAACCTGCACAAACACAAAATCACATTTTTTTAAATGTCTTTTTAAAGACAATCAGAACTTTTTTTAATATCTGAGCCTAGAAGGATTTTATGAAACACAAAATTAATCTGACTGATGAGGTAAACATGGTCCAGATGAACAWGTTTTACTCTAAATGCCCACAAATAGGACTGAAGGTCTGATGGATGAACCATGGTGAGGTCAAGGGTCACTCACCACCAGCACTCCGGCAAACGCCCGCAGGTTCTTCACYAGATCCAGCAGCGTGCTCGCAACCAGAGCCATGAGCTGCAGAAAGAGGCAACAACATGAACATAAAACCTCCAACAGTACAGCAAATAAAACATTTTATTAGTCAAATAAAACAGAAGTTATTATTTTACTGTTTAAAAAAACTACAGACATTTCTTCTTCATCTTTTAGGATTTTGTTTCAGTTTTGCTTTATGTTGATTCATGCCGTCACTTTTCAGTGCAGTGATCATATTAACTGTAGAGCTCCTGCAATTTTAAAAATTAAAAAAATAATAATAATAATAAAAACCTGAAATGTTGCGTGACAGTTTGTATTTACCACCTTTTAAATGAATAGAAAAAAATAATGAATAGATTTTTTTTATATCCCTAACGGAAGTTAGAAGACGTGTTCATTACTGTGTTGGTTTATTCAAAAATACGGTAAATTAGTAAGTAAAATAAATGAGCAGTTTGTGTGAACAGGACAGATCAGGGGTCAAATTTATAAATCTTGCGTACTCCACTTTTCACGCCAAGGTTGTGATTTATAAAATCCAATGCGGTGCCTCACGCCAGCTCTGACCCATGCGTACGCTCATTCTGGAGACGTGAAACTGCGACACAGATGGTGAAGTGAGGAATTAGAGCCACATTGTGTAATGATCACTGTCAGAGATTTAATTTACGTTAACTTAGATTTATTTATTTAGCTTTCTTAACAGTAATATTTATGCTTCTGCTGCTGAGCCATGAGGACCTTTGAAAAAAAAAAACATAAATCTTAAATAAAAGTTCCTGTGAGCAACTCCCTTCATCTGCTTCCTCCTCAGACGACCCTGACCCACAGACCCCTCCCCGAAAAGAGACATTGCAACAGCACGACAGCAAAAGTCACACTTTGGATACACGCGCAGGGCGCACCAACCCTCGCCAGTGTGAATGTTATAAAACTTCACGTTTTAAGTCCGTGTTTGTCGCACGTGCGCGGGGGGATGCGTG